GGTCGCTGTGAGTCAGAATCAGCTTACAGTTTGGTACTGTGGGCCTACTGATTGAGAAATCTGTGTTTTAACAGGCCTTCCTGGTGATTTTGATGCCGGCTAAATTTTGAGAAGCACTGTTTTACATAAACCACTTTGCACACACTTCTTTTGATTAGCACACTTTTCTCCCAAATGCAGAGTCATTGGCTCTCCGTCTTCCATCATTTCTCTGCCCACACAGAAATGCTGTCAAATGCGCGGTTCCTCCGAACAAGCCCGGTCTTTCAGAATGGGTGAGTCGTTGCTTTGTAGACTGTTTGCACACTGACTAAAGCGCCGACGATTCATCTGGCACAGACTGAAGGCACTGCCAAGACTCCCTGTCGGCCTTCAGGCTATTTTGTCTTCATAAGCCAGTTTATTGTGTTCAGATGCTTTTGTCTGGGGCAAGTGTACCTGGCGTGGCTTCATCCAGGGCAGAATCACAGGGCCCCTTTAGCTTGGCATGTTTAATTGGAGCGAAGATTCTAGCACGCTCAACAGACCAGCTCAGAATACCCAGAAAGAAGGATAATATTTATCAGCATACCAGGTAATCGCTTGGTGATAATCATCATGGACACCATTCTATTAGATTTGTTTATTTACCCATAAAAATTAATAAGTGAAACATGTTTGGGCTAAAATGAGCAATCTGCAGGATTTTCGGGGGTAGTGCCAAATTTAATTTTTGTAGTGCCAGAAAGTATACTAAATATTGTTCCCTTATCATTGGTTTCCTTGGTGTTTATTTTGGGCTGTACAATAGTTTTATTATGGAGAAGGCCAGAGGAAAATGCATTCAGCATTTCCATGTTCAGCCAGAGACAGACTGGGAATTCAGGAGATTGGTTCCTTCCCTCACTCCCATCTGCCTGCTCATTCTTTTTACTTGATGAAGAGTTTGGAAAATCCGGCACCTAGACACCAAGAAGAGAGACATAGCCAGTATTAAACCAAAAACCAAACTCATTGCCGTCAAGTCGATTCCAACTCATGGCGACCCTTTGTGTTACAGAGTAGAACTGCTTCATAGGGTTTTCTTGGCTGTAATCTTTACATAAGCAGATCACCAGGACTTTCTTCTGCAGTGCCCCTGGGTGGGTTTGAGCCACCAGTATTTAGGTTAGTAGTTATGTGGGAACAGTTAACACCACCCAGGAACCTAGCCAGAATTAGAGGGATTGTTTTTACTTGTGGATTTGAACTGGCTTCGAGAGGACTGGAAGTGGTATAGGGTCAAATCATTCTCCTTCCTCAGAGCAAGCCAAATCATCTGCCACATGACACGGGGATAATTTTGTAGGTGCGAATTAATATTAGCTGGTTTGTTTTAATAATGGGGCATCTTGGGTTAGTGGTAGAAAGGATACATTTTCAGTGGTGTTGAACAGTAAGGTCCCTATGTGGAGCAAACAGTTTGCACTAGACTGCTAACCAAGAGGTTGATGGTTTGAACCCACCTAGAGGCACCATGGAAGAAAGGCCTGGAGATTTGCTCCCGTAAAGATCACAGCCAAGAAAACCCTATGGAGCAGTTGTACTCTGTAATACATGGGGTCTCCATGAGTTGGAATGACTCGATGGTAATGGGTTTGGTTTCGATCAGTATTTTTGAATTATGAAAGATAACAGGAACAATGCAGCTGTGTTCCCAAAGAGAAGTCAAGAATTCACAGTCTTTAGGATGGACTTCAGCATACCAAGATATTTATTTACCTCCTGACTATCCCTGGAGTTCCCCATCATGACTGCCACCGCCTTGGCCCCGCCATGTCATGTTGGGACTTCTTTATGATCCAGTCTGGAACCGGCGCGGCCCTCCCCCCGCCCAGTCTCCAGCTTCTGGCTCCTTCTCAGGGGAATTTGGAATGAAGAAAAGCTAGCCAGCGTAAGATGGACTCTTGAACTGAAGTTATGTAAACTCAAGTGCTGTGGGAAGCCGTAAGCCTTGAGAAGGTAAGAAACAGAACTACAGAGAGAGAAGAGTAAAGCAGAGGTAAGGGACGCTGGGTCCAGAGAGGTGACAGATCGTTACCAGTCACTTTCGGGTGTCTGGTTCCATTTCCTCCTGAGGCCCGGCTATCCTACTGGGAGTCTTTAAAAAACACCACACCTTTGTAATAAATTTCCATTTTTTCCTCTGAATTTAAACTAGCTATAATAGCTTTATATTCCTTGTAAACTATTAGTAAGGAGTCCTGGTGGTTCAATGGTGACAGCACTCAGCCACTAACCAAAAGGTCGGAGGTTCAAACCCACCAGCCGCTTCACAGGAGAAAGAGGTGATAGTCTGCTTCTGTAAAGATTTGCAGCCTTGGAAACCCTAAGTGGACTGTTCTGCTCTGTCCTAGAGGGTCACTGTGAGTTGGAATAGACTTAACGGCAACAGATTTGTTTTTTTTCTTTCTAGTTTTGTAAACTATTCACATGGACTAAGATAGGTGGGGGCTTCCAGGATGTGGTCTCACTCTGCAAACCAACAGTGGTGGTCTACATCTTAAATGGAGGAAAGGCCAGGAAGCATCTGGATTGCTGCATTTGCAGTATGCCAGCGAGATAACGTAATTATTTGTTCATGTTCACCGTTGTTACTGAGGGCCAAATGCTTTGCCTGCATTCCCATTTGATCAGCACGACCTCACGATGAGTATTCTGAGAGGTTACATAACTTGGAACTCAGAGATGGGAAATGCAGAGCCAGGGACTGGGCATCCGGAAGGGTCTCGCCCTCAGAGCACCTGGCTGTGCTGTAGGAGGCGCGGGGAGGACCCAGCCTGCGTCGGCCTTGGACGGCATCAGGGAGGGTTCCCGGGATGACTCTGTTCTGGACACGAGAGGGGCGAGTGAGCATGGGGGAGACAGAGCAGGTTAATCAAGCTCAGATCAGACTCTGCATTGTCAAGCATTGTGCTGATTCATTCCGTATTGTGGGAATTGTGAGAATGAGGAAGTGATGTAGTAATAAAACCTTCCTGCAAACCACCCTCACCTTGGGAGGCAAACCCATTCCCCCAGACAGAGACTGGGCAGGCTTCCTTATACCTGGAACTTACCGGACCAGGTGTGTGGTACCACGGGCTCTCCTGAGAAGGAATGATGTGCCAGTCTCTTATTGCCTAATAACCAGCTTCTAATCCCTCACGAATTTACAATGTAGGCTTTTATTTTTTTGCAAGAGAGTGCCGATAATAAGTGGGCTGCCTTTGAAAATTCAGAGCCATTTCCTCCCATCCCTATGTGGCTCCCTGCCAGGTGCCTCCAGGGGGAGGTTGTAGGGGTCTTGCCTTCTGAGAGCCAGCAAGTCTCTGACAGAAGTCAGTTTATGGTTGCCTGTGGGATCTGATTACGAGAATGATATGCGCTTGATGGTGATTGGTTACTTCCATTAGTTACGAAAATCAAGATGGCTTTCACGTTTTTAAGACCTTTTCCCCTCTCTTCTGACATTTATGACTCCGTCTTTTGAGATCAAAGTGTACAGAGTTTTTGCAACTCTTCACCCCAGCATTCTGCAAACATGTGTTTGTATGCAGGGCTCTCTACATGCAAGGGAATTAGACCAGTTTTGTGGAGTGTAACAAATATGATGAATTTAGAGCCCCAAGCCTTCCATCCTCCCCATATTGCTGAACGAATGCCTTGTTCTGCAAGAATTCGTTGTGAAATTCGGGAAAAAGACCAGACTTAATGGTCTGACAGAGATGGGAGGAACCCCCAAAACTATGGCCCCCAGACACTCTGTCAACCCGGAACTGAAACCATTCCCAAGGCCCACTCTTCAGGCAAAGATTAGGCAGGACTGTGATGCAAAAAATAATACGCGTGAGGAGTATGCTTCTCAGTTTAGTCAGACACCCGAGACCAGATGGGCGGCTCCTGCCGGGAGGCAGGATGAGAAGGCAGGAAGGGCCAGGCACTGGTCGGATGGACCCAGAGAACCTGAGGTGGGAAGGGGGAGTGTGCTGTCACGCTGCGGGGATTGCAGCTAATGTCACAAAACAATATGTGTATAAATTTTTGAAGGAGAAATTAACTTGAGCTATAAACTTTCACCTAAAGCACGATAAATAAATTTAAAAAAAAGAGAATGGGTCGTGATGCGAGGAGACACATGAACATTATTTTCCATGATGTCATCTGGGCTTATGGGATTTTTTTTTCCTCTGCTACATAATAGCAGACCTTCCATTTTGACCAGTTTTTTTCTTCACCTACTTGCCTGTGCTTTCTCATTAAGCCAGCTTCTAGTACATGTGGCTGGATGGTAGCGTGTCTGCTTTCTTTTCTCTGGCAAAGTTAGGCGTTTGGTGCTCTCCCATGTTGTTGAAGCTGAATAAATCTTGGAAAGTGTGGGAACTTGTCCTAAGAGTTGTAAAGAGGAGCATTCTAGAATATACAGAAATTCTCACGTTAGTGACGATTTTCAATCACACGCTCTGCGTCCCAGATTTAGTGACTCTTTCTGTCAGATGTCAGCTGCTGCCTGTCCTTACAAATGGCTTAGAACCTGGAGGGCTTGTACAGTAGGTGCAGGCTGAGGTACCCACAAGTTCGCCGAGTGCCAGAGGCTGGTTTGAACACAGTGCCGAGGCAGGCACTGACATATCCCCTTGGCTAGGGGAGCACATTGCATTCTGAAGACTAACAGAGAAAATGGTAAAGTCAGCTCTCAGGGGAGTCAGCCGAGAAAGCCCTACCCTCCGGCCTCACCGGCATGTTGGTTGATTCTCCTTGTCTAGGAAAGCTTGCTGGCTTTATTCTTCCTTTTCAGAGGGAGGGAAAGCTCCAAGATACGGGTGATCTGCTTGACTCTTTCTTCCAGGGAGAATATCTCTGCTTGCCCTAAGGAATACGTTCACGATTGAGTTGGGGCGGGGAAGGGGTTGCGTTCTGCTGCAGAAGTTCTCTTTCCAGCACGTGGGAATGGCCAAGCAGCAGAAGTAATGGACACGTTGTCTGTGTTCCCGGCCCTGCAGGTTCACCAGTACTATGGCTGTCTCCCAGAGGAGAAGGTTCCTTATGTCAACAGCCCTGGAGAGAAACTGCGGATCAAGCAACTACTGCACCAGCTGCCCCCACATGACAACGAGGTAAGGGGCTGTGGGGGCTTAGGAAGACTTTCCCTAGAACCTCACGGGAATTGTCACCTCTCCGCTGATCACAGTGCTGTGATCTATGAGATCTCCCAAGAGAAGCTTTGGCGATTTATTGTAAGGTTTTCGCTTCCTTAATTGGAGCCAAAAGAAACTGCCCACCATCTTCTGGGGAGTGTTCCCCAAGCAGAATCCCATTATGGACGGAATTAGCTTCTGTGCCTGGCCCTGCTGGCGATTTTGGGGTAACCAGGGAGCACCAAAACTTAAAAGCTCGAGTCCAGGTCTTCTCTGAAGAGACAGGTGCCATGCTGGCCGCCCGCGTCTGTCCGAGGGAGGATTGAGATGCCCCAGGCCAGCACGAGCCCAGCAAAAACCACGTGACTCTTGAATGTGCAGCATCATTTCACATTAATGAGATTGCAAGCTTTCCACATGACACTCCAGTCGAAGTCAGGGAGCCGGATCTGCAGTTCTGAACGTCTGTGTTTTTGAGGTCATGCAGTCTTGCCAGGATGGTTGTCTGGTGCTCTTGGAAGTATCCCTCACAGGCTGTCCTGTTTGCTGAACCCAGATGCAGAGGCCTAGAACCAGGCATTTCTTGTCTTTGAATTCAAACTGATCATAAAGGTAAATTTGTAAACATGCTTTTCCAAGGATGATGATACCGAGGGGATTAGATATGTAAACTAGAAATTCATGTTTAAGTGTCTGGTTTAAAAAAATAACAATCCTATAGAATTGAATTGTCTGTTCGCTTAACTCTGGCTGTATCTTAAGCAAAAACAAAAAAAGTCATTTGAAATTGAAAGAAGAATTAACCCCTTGAGAGAACTAGACATCAGCTTTCTACCAGCTTCCGTGCTCACGGCTGGACCCCAACAACTCAATCCCGGGAGAAATGAGTGGGTGCTTTTTCGCCTTATTTTCCCTCATCTGAGTGAGAGGGGATAATTTGAGGGCCTCTAAAATAAACATAAAAAGGAGCCTGGGTGGCGTAAGCAGTTTGTGATCGGCTGCTAACCTGAAGCTTGGTAGTTCTAACCCACCCAGCAGTACTATGGAATAAAGGCCTGGCAGTCGGCTTCCATAAACATTACAGCCAAGAAAACCCTATGGAGCAGTTCTCCTCTGTAACACATGGGGTCGCCATAAGTGAGAATTGACTTGGTGGCAACGGGTTTGATTTTTTAAAATAAATGTGAGTAACGAATAAGTCGGACAAAAGCTTGGAGACAGAAGCAGCTCCTTATAAGATGCTGCAATTTCCTTTCCTGCTGCTGCCTTCAGACTCCATCCAATGCCTATAAATAATGCTTTCCCCTTAAAGCTGAGAGCAAGCCTGGAACCTGATGCCCAGGTAACTGATTTGGAGGCTAAAATGTGGGTTTTTACAAGCACGAGGGGTGTGCCTCGCTTTACAAGCATGTCCCTAAAATGTCAGCAGTGTAACTGATTATTGTGGGGCTACTCAGGTCACTGCAGCCCTGTCTCTGGGAAGGCCACAGAAGGTTGTCGTTTTCACTCTTTACTAGATGGAGAGAAGGTATCTTGTCTGCTTTCAGCAGTTCTGTTTATGGTTAACTCTGTTTGCTTGAGAAGAGACTATTCAAATCACTTCTTCCTGCTGGTGGGAATTCCATGCATGTGATCAGTGGGCCATTTTAGCCCTTTGGAGGACAAAGGGTGATTCTAAAGTAAATGTTTGATCATTCCATTTCCCCCACAGTTCAGACAATTTTGATATGCACAGCTGCAGTTTAGTAGACTTTTTTTAATGCCCTGGATTTCAAATTGGGATGTGACAAAGGTTTTCCTCGAACCAGCTGTGTGATAACTCATCAGAACCATTTAGCTAACCTTTCTGATTGCCCAGATTGCTCTGAATGAAGCCGGTGTGGGATTAGAACCAGGTTTCCCAAAGTGTGGTGTATACACAGCTTTGGGTGGTACATGGATGTGGCAGTAAATAAGGCTGAACCATGTAAGTGAGAATGTTACTCCCTTTTGAGTTTCCTTGTAGTCTGAGTGTTTGAATAGGGAGGAGGACATTTCAGTTTGACATCAGCAGATATCTCATACCTCTGTAATCCATACTGGTCCCCACTTTTATATAGGTGCATCAGGGATCTCCCAGGGGCAGAATAGCTGGTTGGAATCTAACAATGTGGTTTTCTTCTCTCCCTATTGATTTTTATGTTTGATCTTCTGCTTATTGTAGGTAATACAGGTTTTCCATGTATAGTCATAATATGCTTTCTTTTTAAGTAAATGTGCTCAAGTTAAAAAAAGTAAGTTAGTTTTAAAACAATATGAAGTAAATAATAGTTGAAGGCTCTGGCAGAATTCCCAATGTGTGCATGAGTAAGTGGAGAGAATGGAGAACACTGGATTCGATCGTCTTTAATGTCCCTTCCTTAATTCTGTGAGTTTCTGTGTTTAACAAGAAGGAGGATCTTATGCAAGTTGGTACGCTTCACCAGAGCCTGGCAGCTGGCCCTTTCCCTCTGGCACAGAGATACAAACGCAGGGATATCCATGGAGCACTGCAGATCCTTCTGGACCAACTCTGCAGTCTCAAACCTTTGTGTCCCCGTTTTCCCAAAATGAGACAAGAGAACAGGAGTCAGGAGCATGCTGACTACCTTCTGGTTCACTGGCTGGGAGCCATCTTTGGGCATCAAGCCTCATTTCCATGGGTGCAAGAGGCTTCAGAAGGTCAGGACCCCTTAATCCAGTTGAGAGAGTGAGAACGTCCTGGAGCTTCAGTAGCGTCAAAGCCATTGGCCGATGATTTGGATTCCAGTTCGGTGGTTGGATATCTGTGTGGTGAGCAGAGTGGGATAGTAAGGATGACTTGGGCTCCAGTGTGGGCTGTTCTAAGCTCTGTTGACTGTCACTGGTCTTGGTGGAGACTCACCCTTAATGGCACCAAGCCTGGTGTTTGTGAAGTTTAGGCAGGGCCTTAGGACCAAACGGACTGTGTTGAATGTGAAAACTCTGTGTCCTGGGCTTCAGGAACCTGAAGGAGCAAGAGTGACCTCCTCCCTGCTGTCTTTTTTGTTGTACAGGTTCGATACTGCAACTCCCTGGATGAGGAAGAGAAGCGGGAGCTGAAGCTGTTCAGTAACCAGAGGAAACGGGAAAACTTGGGCCGCGGCAATGTCAGGCCCTTCCCGGTCACGATGACAGGAGCTATTTGTGAACAGGTGAGTGTGGACTTGGGAGAGTGGGGAGGGGTTCTTCTGTCTCCCTTCACTCATTCATTCAGCCAGCAGAGGCATGGTTCTAGGCCTTGGGTGGGGGTGCAGCAGTGAACAAAAGACAATAAAAGCGTTCCCTTGCCCTTGTAAAGAGTTAGGGAGGAAGTCATGCAATAAACCAAATAAATAAAATAGAAAAAACCCGTCAGAGAAGAGGCCAGGAAGTGCTGGGAGTGTGGAGGCTGCAATTTTAAATAAAGTGGCTGGGGAAGGCCCCCTGGAAAGTGGCATCTCAGTCAAGACATGCAAAAACTAAGGTAGTGAGTCATGCAGACCTTGGGGACAGAGGGAACAGCCAGCTCAGAGGCCCTACAGCAGGAGTGTGTCCATTGTGTTCTGCCAAGGAGGCAATGAGGCAGAGGTTGTGAAGGGGAGAAAATTAGCAGATGAGGTTAGAACTCATGGAGGGCCTGATCATGGAGAGCCATGGGAGAGAGGACTCGTATTTTCAAATGAGTTCTTTAGACAGTGGAGTTTGCCTGGGTCATGGGACCAAAGCCTTTTAAAGGGGTGGTAAATGAGCTTCTTCTTGGAGTTGAGGTCTTTAGCAAAGTGCGTGGAGGACCCAAGCGTTCTCCCTAGGACCTCAGTGCGTTGGAGAGTCTGGATTTGTTTGTTGTCTTACTCACCAGTAGAGAACTCAGGGTGTGGTGGAGGAGGGTTTTAAAGAAAGTGGGTGGGAACTCAGCCTGCCGGGGTTCACCCTGCCCCACCTCTCAGTTGCCAAAGGCCTCCCGGTGGCAAAGGTCCTTTCCTGCACCTCTCTACACCCTACTGCCTTTTGCTCAGCTCCATCTAACTCCTTAAGCTCTTGGTTGACCCATTCAGGCACTGAAGATAAGTCAGCTGCATCTGGAAGAGGGAGCAGGATACGGCCTGAGGGGAGCAGATGCTGTTCCGGGGCCCTTGTTTGAGTTTCCGAGGGGTAAAGGGAGAAGGTCAGGTGGATGGAATAGAGAAGCTGCTTGATGAAGGGAGATAAAGGACCAGAGATTTGACAGTGGGGCCTTCATCCTCCCGTCCTTGAGACCACCCTGGAGGTGCAGGTGCTCAGGGTTACAACATGAGTTTCGGTATCTCGGGACCCTCTGGCACTCGCAGACGGGTTTCCTGCAGCCACGTAAGCTGGGCCCACCTAAGGCAGAAGGATGGTTGGGCATTTCATGGCAGATGTTGAGAGCAGTCTAGAGAAGTGCCAAGAACATGGAGGCAGAAAGACGTAATTTGACTCACGTTTCTGCCACATGACCTTGACCAAATTACTTTTCCTCAGTTTTGTCATTTGAAAAATGGAGCAAAAAGTACCTACCTCACAGAATTATGGTGAGGATTCAATGGGATTATGTAGGTATAACCCACCTACCTACTAAGGTTATCATGAAAGGCAGGGGTGGTATTTTCCATAATATAATGTCAGATCCTTCTCCAACAAAACTACATGCAAATGAAGTAAGAAGTATTCCCAACAGAGCAGTTCCTGGTTTACTGCCACTCAGCATCGCCATCCTAGTGAGGGAAACAAACAGACAAGCCCAAGAAAGTAGAAAGTTAAAAGCATGGGCCCTGGAACCGTGTGTTTGAATTCTCGCTCTTCGGTACACATGTGTGAACTCCCAGAGACTGTTTCATGAGACCTTTACGTCATTGTCTGTAATGCCCTTACGTCATTTTTCCATGATGATGTTCAACCCGTACAAGGTCTATGGTGTGAAAAATGTTGGGAAATGGCTGTTCTACTCCTTAGGCATTGCCTCCAGAGCTCAGCCACTCACACCAGGTCATAATGCTGGACTCCCAGGGTGGGAACCTCATGGCCAACCCCACAGTCACCTGAGAGCCACCATGGACCCACGCTTCAGGCTTTGCTCCTTGTCACCAAAGACCCTCAGGCCACATTCTCTGTCCCATCCTGCAACTGCAGGCATGGGTCAGTCTGCCTTACCCTTTTTGGATGGGGGATGGGACATTGGAGACAGAGTGAGAAGGTAGGGAAGGAACAGGGAAGAAGCCTTTTCCATAGTTTGGCCTTAGAAGTGGTGCCTTTCAATCAAGACTATATAAAAAGATGTTAAAGGAAGCAGGCTGAAAGCATGCCTGAAGGGTGAGTAAGGAACCCTAGTGATGCAGCGGTTAAGTGCTCAGCTACTAACTGAAGGCTTGGTGGTTTGAGCCCACCCAGTGGCTCTGCAAGGAGAATGGCCTGGCGATCTGCTCCAGTAAAGATTATATCCTAGAAAGCCATATGGGGCAGTTATACTCTGTCGCATGGGGTCATTGAGTCAGGCGCCTAACAACAAGGGCAGGTGGAGGAAGTAAAGGATGGCATGTTTCTACCCACTGCTCCCCCTGCCATCCAACAGTGCAGACCCACCCTCTCCCACAGCCCCCTCCAAGCCCTCCTATTCCCGCCTGCCCACCACCTCCCCCAGCCAGCTCCTTCTGGTGTTGAACTTGACTGTGCTTCTGAATCGGTCAGTATCCAGTAGCCAATGAGACCTGCCCTTGGAGCTCCAGAGTGTTGCTCTGCTAATGGAGCTCTTCTTTCCTTCCCACCTTTGGGATTCATGCTTCTCAGGCACTGTGTCTTCATCTTTCCTTGTAGGCCCAAGGAAATGAGGGTGGGGAAGGGCCAGAAAAACCTGCCTGGCCAGGTACCTACAGCAGGTTACGCTGTGACCGCATTTGAGAATAAGTGCCCACCACCCAGCTGTTGTTACGGTCACCGTTGTCATTTATGAAGAGCAAAGCAGAAGACCTGGAAATGGGGCAGTGCTGGTACTGACCTTTCTCTTTGCCTCACAGTGCGGAGGCCAGATCAACGGCGGGGACATTGCTGTGTTTGCGTCCCGCGCTGGCCACGGTGTTTGCTGGCACCCGCCGTGCTTCATCTGCACCGTCTGCAGCGAGCTCCTGGTGGACTTGATCTACTTTTATCAAGACGGGAAGATATACTGTGGCCGGCACCACGCCGAGTGCCTGAAGCCTCGCTGTGCCGCCTGTGACGAGGTCAGAGCGGATGTGTCAGGCTCGCGGCCCTACCTGGCACCCCTAGCTTGCGCCATTGCCAACCCTTTGTTCTGGGCTTCCTGCACAGAAGAAAACCATAGGCGACTCCCCCTCTTATTTTAACCCTTTCAACACTAGCAAGCCCCACCCATCCCTGGTTGCTGAAATGCCCGGGATTCTGGCCCACTTTACCAAATGCAGCGGTCTCATGGGCCTCCCAATGGGAAGGCGGTTTCTGTAGCTCAGGAGGCCCCCAAGTGGCATCCCCAGGCAGTAGGCCAGTACAGAACTCCTAAGAAAAAAATTTTGAAAAAGCATCGTGAAGCTTTAGATTTCTGCCCTAATCCCAGGGAGCAGTTGTCAGTAATGGAGTGCCACTTATATAGTGAAATAGCTCAGTTTCCCACAATTTGATGGGCTCGATTGGTTTAAGGAGAGAAGAAAATTAATAGCATTATTAGATTTTCACACAGTTTTTAGAAGTTTGGAGTGAGGATTCAGGAGGCAGATGGATACTCCATTTGGATATCTCTGGTTGAAGTATCACCTTTCATGCAGGAGACCCGGGTTCGATTCCCAGCCAATGCACCTCATGCACAGCCACCACCCGTCTTGTCAGTGGAGGCTTGCGTGTTGCTGTGATGCTGAACAGGTTTCAGCGGAGTTTCCAGACTAAGAAGGACTAGGAAAAATGCATACCAATCTACTTCAGGAAATCAACCCATGACAACCTCATGGATCACAGTGGTCCCGTCCCTTTGTGCATGGGGTCGCCATGAGTAGGGGGCACCCTGACAGCAGCTAACAGCAGTAACCCTGGGTAAGAAAGCAGATAGAGGACCAGGCTCACGCCAGGTAGGTTCTCCCATGAGAAACACACCCAGGCTTTTCTGGTTTTGATTTGAAAGTTTGGAGCAGAAAGGAGAATGTTCTAAACCTGACTTCTTTTGTGGGAATAATTTGGGGGAATATCTTGGACAGAGGTTTCCTCCTGCACAGGGGAGATGTTCAGGTCTAACAATGGATTTGTATGAACAGTAATGTGGAAGGCACCACCCTCCATTTTCAGCCAAGCAGAGTCCCGTATCAGGTGGGCCTTGTTCTCTTACAAACTAACCTGTCTTTGCTCTTTAGAAGATGATCCGATTTAACTGATTTGCTTCTAATGCTTATAGTGATTTCTGGAGAGATCCTCTGGGGAGGTAGTTGGAAACTGAGTTCAGATCCAACTCTGTGATTCTAGGCAGCAACTTTACTTTCAGGCTTCAGTTTCCACACCTGGAAAGTGGTGCTTGTGGTATGGCTTTATGTTATTTATTGCAATTGAATTGCTTTGAAATTTTTTAATTGGAATATAATTCACGTACATAAAATTTACCCTTAAGTGTACAATTTAGTGGAGTTTTTTTCCCAAGAATAAATACAGGATTTGACAACCGTCATCATCTGATTTAAAACATTTTCATCCTCCTAAGAAGAAACCCTGTACTCATTAGTGGTCGGTTTCTACCCTCCACCCCCTTACTACCCTTCTTCCCCAGGCAATCACCAGTCTATTTTCTGTCTCTGTGGATGTGTGGATTCTGGAGATTTCGTATAAATGGGATCATGCAGTATGTGGCCTTCGTGCCTTGCTTCCTTCACACGGTGGAATGTTTTTAAGATTCATCCATGTTGTAGCCTGTGTCAGCTCTTCACGCCTTCTCATGGCTGAGTAACACTCCATTGTATGGGTGGACCACGTGTTGTTTCTCTGTTCATCAAGTGATGGACATTTGAGTTATTTCCACTTTTTGGCTATTATGAATAATGCTGCTGTTAACATTAGTAAGTGAGTTTTTGTGTGGACATATGTTTTAAGTTCTTGGGAGTATATACCTAAGAATGGAATTGCTGGGTCATATGGTAACTGTAACTTTTTTGAGGGAATGCCAAACTGTTTTTCAAGGCAAGGGCACCATTCCATTCCCACCGTTAACGAGTGAGGGTTCCAATGTCTCCACGTTCTTGCCAATGCTTGTTATCGCCCGTCTTTTTGCTAATAGTTATCCTAGTGGGTGTCAGGTGGTATCTCGTTATGGTTTTGACTTGCATTCCCAAAATGGTTAATGATTTTGAGCATCCTTGCATATGTTTATTGGCCATTTAGAGAGATGCCTGTTCAAATCTCTTAGCTTTTGTTTAAGTTGGCTTGTCTTTCTTTTTATCAGTGAGTTGTAAGAGTTGTTTATATATTCTGGTCACCAGTCCCTTATCACATACTGATTTGCAGACGTTTTTTCCGTTCTGGGAGTTGTATTTTCACTTTCTTTGATAGGATCCTTTGAAACACCAAAGTTTCTAATTTTTATGAATTCCAGTTTATCTATTTTTTTCTTTTGCTCCTTGTGCTTTTAGTGTTATACCTAAAAACCATTGCCTAATCTAAGGTCACAAAGACACCTATGTTTTCTTCCGAGAGTTTAATAGTTTTAGGTTTACACTTAGGTCTTTGTTCCATTTTAAGTTAATTTCTTAATATGGGGTGAGGTTGGGGTCCAAATTCATTCTTTCCTGTGTGAGTATCCAGTTGTCCCAGTACCATTTGTTGAAAAGATCACTCTTCTATTGAATTGTCTTGGTAGCCTTTTTGAAAATCAAGTGATCATAGCCTCTGGGTTTGGTTTTGAACTCTCAATTCTATTTCACTGATTTCTGTGTCCATCCTAATACCACACTGTCTTGATTACTGTAGCTTTGTGGTACAGTTTTGAAATCTGTGCCTTGAAATTAAAAAGAAGCTCTGTATCAGGGGCCAAAACTCAAATGCTTCTGATAGCCAATCCCATATCGTAAATGAAGGAGATCCATTTTAAGGCAATAAGGAGTAGTTAAGAATCTGACAAACTGGAGAGGTCAGAGCCCATCTGTTGTGGATTGAGTTGTGCCCTCCCAGAATGTGAAGCCATCCACTTGTGGTATTTCTGTTATAGCAGCACTGAATAACTAAGACACTGTCTGAAAGCAGCAACCCCTTTCTCAGGTCTCGTCTGTCACTGCCTTGCACGAATGTGTGCCCAGCATGGCCAAATGTTATATTCTCCACAGAGAAGCCAGGGTTCCAAGTGTTTGTATGAAATTTCTCTATTTTTTAAATAGTGTGTGCAAACCAAATGAAACAGATGTGTTTGTCTATGTCTGACGAGTCCATGGGCTATCAGTTTATGGTGCTGCTGTAATCTTCAGGATGGAAAATTCTTTCTGCTTTTGAAACGTGGTTAAATCCATCCCTGGCCAGGCCAGAAACTAGGTTTAATTGTGCTTTAGGTATATCCTCATTTGGGAGCTGATATAAATATAGAATAAACATATATATATTATTGTTTAATAACTCGTGCGCTAGACCTGCTTTTCCACCCTTCTAATTTGGGGGGACCCCTTAGCTTTTCTTCTTCAAAGTATGTTCTCATAGCTGGGTCTCAAGCACTGACCATTTGGCTTCCCGACCTCCAGATCATCTTTGCGGATGAATGCACAGAAGCTGAGGGGCGTCACTGGCATATGAAACATTTTTGCTGCTTCGAGTGTGAGACGGTGCTGGGTGGCCAGCGCTACATCATGAAGGAGGGAAGACCCTACTGTTGCCACTGCTTCGAGTCCCTGTACGCGGAATATTGTGACACCTGTGCTCAACACATAGGTGAGGCCATTCTCTGTG